GGCAGCTGTGCCATCGCCACACCCTGTGTGTCCTATCATTAGCAACTGTCCGGTAAAACCCTTCAGTGGTGAGACCGGCGAGCCCTGGCCGGGTGTGCTAGCCAGGCCAGGCCACTCACGAGAGTCAAACTTCCAGGCAATGGTGATGCCGCCGATTTCAGAGTCGCTGAATCTCAGCAGGAAGGTGCCGTCGGGCTTGTTGATGAGCAGGTCGTGGGCCTGCTGCTTGTTCACGAAACCCAAGATCGCGCTGGAACACAAAGGCCAAAGGGTGGGGACAGAGTGAGGCCCGGGCCCCGCCAAGCCCACCCCCACCCCCTCCCACCCCACCCGCACCCCGAAGATGGGGCGATGCTCACCCATCGTTCCAGTGGGGCTTGAGGTGCTTCTTCAGCACCTCCATGACACCGTCAAACCACTGCCAGAAGGTGTAGTTCCGTCCCGGCAAATTCTCCTGGGTGAGCGTGCCACCGAGAGAGGAGGGAAGCAAGAGCAGAAGTTGGAACATGAACCTGCATGTGACTCCATGGGAAAACAAACACCTCTACTGTCAGGGGCACCCCCGCCCCGCCCCTCTCTCTCCAGGCCTCCAGGGGTGCCTTGGAAGAAAGTCCTGGTGACCTGCTTCTGAAAGCCCACGGCCACGGAAAACCCCGGGCAGCGCTGTCCTGCCGTGCACGAGGCTACCACGAGGGGGAGCTGATCTATAGGAAATGAATTTTCTTTTCTTTTTTTTTTTAATTTGAGTTTTACCAAATACTTTTACAGTCAAAATACAAAGTAGAGAGGTCAGGAAGGGAGAAGGGGCAAAAACCAAAGAGAAATGCACCCAGGGCCCTGGTAAGCCCTGCGAGAGACACTCCCCACTGGCTCCCTGCTGCTGTCAATGTGGGGCCCGTGACCAGCAGCTTCACCTGGGGGAGCTTTTAAGGAAAGTGGACTTTGAGGCCCTGGACTCAGACCCAGGAGTGAGGGGGTCAGCCTTATCTGTGAGGCCTTCGACTGCCTGTCACCCCACAGCGTGGGACCAGCACAACACCGCTCCCTGCGTCTACTGGACGGCAGGGTGTCATTGTGTCCACAGATGGGCCATGGGGGCCACCTCTGATGACTGCTGGCCGTGTCTGACCACAATCTCATTCAAAGCATTAAAGACTCAGCACCATCAGCAGCTCGAATGAAGGGTCTTTGCCACTCTTCCCAGGAGTGGGGGCTAAGAAAAGAAACGGGTTGAAAATAGGGGAAATATTTGCCGAGGGGTCCCTGGATGACAGTAGCTGAAGGAAAAGGCCCCAAATTAGCACCCCCAGTGAGGTTTGGGAGCCAGTCTCTACATGATCGCTCAGGGAATGTCCACCCGAGAGGGAGCAGGCTGAGCGGGCAGCTGACCTCCCAGTGGCTTTGCTCCCTGCTTCCTTCATAATGGCGCCTGGACTCCAAGCATAGCCCTGCTTTTAATATGCAAAGAGGTCATCTTCTCTCTCAGATCAGCAGCTTCCTACTATTGGGGTCACGGGTCTCTGGCTCGGCAAGCCTGCTCTGCGGTGGCAGGTGGCGGCCGCGCTCCTCACCCTGTTGAACTGGGACCAGGACACGGACATGCTGCTGTATTCCTCCAGGTGGCTGCTGCTGTGATTGAACAGCTTCTGCG